CAATATATTGTAGTTTAAGGTTGCAGTCCTATATTCACATACTTGCAAGAAAGTCCCAGCGAGCTGAACAGTGCTTTCCTCTGAGCAGACGTGTGCACAGTAAAACTCTTAAGAGATGTAAACAAATCAAACGGAACACAGGTCAACATCACCTGTATCCAAGATAGCCAACAGGTCAAACCTGCCTGTTGGGCCTGAAACCATAAATATGGGCTTGCCCAGTGTGTTCTTGCCAACATACCAAAAACAAAAACAACCCCCCTCAACAAAAAAAAATCCAGTTTTTTAAAGGATCTCTCATTTCAAGTGGAAGCACTGAATTTTTGAGGAGAGTGCGATTTAATTTGAGGAGAGCGCAATTTATCCACAAAGTGCAGTAAGGTTCACACAGAATGAGCTTTGCAAACTACTCTCTCTCCCTCTCTCTCTCTTTATTTATCTATCCTGCTTTTCTTCTTTAAAAGGAGCCAAGGCAGCTTACATCATCAAAAGACTATACTTCAAAGCTAAAAAGAATAAGTAAACAAATACTAACATATCTTTATCAAACAAATACCACGCTAAAAATGGTAAACAAAACCAACACCAAAAACAGATTCAAAGTAACTGCAGAGCTTAAAACAATGCAGAACCAAAAAAAGAACAACTTCATGGAGAATAAAAGCTATCACAATGGCCACATGCCATCTACAGAGTCAAAAACTGCATGCCTCAGAATTAGGAATGGGAAGAATGCTGGCTAAATTCCTTGTTCTCATTGATTTAGTTCATCAGGACAGGGCTAGATACCTCAGTTAACACTTTTAAAGCCCTCAAAGACACCTCACCTTTAGAGCAAGGACAAGACATTCAATGTGTTCTTTGGTCTCAGGTTTTTGCCACTTGTACAAGCTATGTCTGTGCAAACAACAATCCCCTCTCTTGGAGATTCAAGGCCTGCAGGGCAAGCACAGAAGGACTGGGTGATGGATTAAAAAGATTCAAACAACCCCTCACCGGCTTCTGCTGTGTTTTTTTTTTTCCCAAGTTCCCAGACCAAAGCAACAGACTGCAGAACTTGGCACAACCAGCGCTATTTTACACAAAACTCAGTCACAGAAAAGCATCACTCAAGATTAACAGAAAATACCTTGTGCTCCAGCAGGGGAGAGGAAAAGAAAGCAATTTCTCACTCTCAAGTAGAGAAAGAAATGAGTGACGAGCTGTATACCTATTCGGAATATCTGTGACCATAAAACACTAATAGGCCAGGACTGTTGCATTCACAACTTTACTGTGGGTTTCTGAGATACATGTGGGTTGCCAGGAATGAAAACAGAATGCTAAACTAGGTAAGTCTTTGGTCTGAGCCAACTCCTTGGCCTTTGCATTCTTTTCATCAAGAAGCCATAAGAAGTTCTACAGTTCAACTGGAGAAGAGGATGGAACCCCTCAAACACAGTGATGTGTTATTACAAGTAGGAACAACAATAGATCAAAGCAAATTAAAGTATTCCCAATGTTTCTACCTATCCCTTTGTGCTCCGGCTCCTGCACAAGGTAGAGTTCAACAACACTGCATACAAAAGAAGAAAAATACAATCTTCTGTTGAAGGTTTTCACATTATAATAAATGTTTCATTGGGAAAGCTGATCCATATGTGAATGCATGTATATGTGTGCAAACACATGTGTGTGTGTGTGTGTATACACACACACACACATAAACATGTGAAGCTGGCCTATATTAGTTACAAAATAGACCTGCACAATCCTGCACACAGAAATTGTTTCAACTGAGTTTAAGACTGACATCATTCTAAATCGCATTACCAGAAGTTTTTTTAACAAAAGATGTTGGGAAATTAACTTTTTATATTAGCTTTAATATTGCCATTTAATAATGTAAGATGCCTCTTTATACTAACTGGTTTTAGTTATAAATATTGTCTTTTAACTATGTTAACCACCCAAAGAACCCTAGGATCTCCTAAACACAAAGCATTTAAGTTAAAGCATACATACAGTTCTACCTCTCAGCTAGATGCCCCCCTCTTTTTTTTTAGCAAGGTGTATTGCCAAAGCAGGACCTCTGTTGCTGGAATCATAGGAAGGGTAACAATTAAAAAGCCTAAGCCAGAAATTGACAATTTGTGTCCATCCTGATGTCATCAGACTGCAACTCCCATTAGCCTTGGCCAACATAGCCAACAGCTGGGGATCATGGGAAGTGTAGTTGCAAAATAATCTGGAGGGCCACCTCTTTAGCACTCCTGACTTAAGCCCTTGCCGTACATTGGAATACTACAAACAGCACTAAGGTGGAGCAGAACCTTAGTGCTGCTCCCACAGCCATCCTCATATTCAGCAAATGGTTATACTGTACAGTATGTCAGTGTAAATAGTTGCTTGCATGCATAAACTCTGTGCAACGAGAACCCACAGTTGCATAGGGCGTGGACTGCTTGGCACATGCCACCGCTTGGGGGTATCCACCCTTCCTTTGGAGGTATCCATATCGAACACACTGGCACAGTAGAAGCACAAACACAGTCATAGCCTAGCATGTGAAAAGCAACCTCCCCTCATTAATGTTATCGGCAGTATTGCTCAACTGCAGGCCCTCCAATGCTCCTGTTCCTATCAAGAGGCCCTCTTGACATTGCTGAGGATCCTGATCTTTGTAGCCACTTAGCAAGTGCAAAGAGACCCTCAGCCAACGCAAACAGATCCCACTTGAGAAGCCATGACAACGATCTAACAAAGCATCCTGTTTTCTTTCCCTCAGGCATGCGGTGTGCATACTCCCGAGCAAAGGCTGAAGTGTGATGACTTTTTCTTCTCCAGGACCACAGTAAGGATCAGAGCAAGATTGGCCAGAGCCCAGTCACATACACATCACAAACCTCCATCTGGTGAGCCCAGCAAGCCAGTTCAAAGAAAACTAAGGGTGAATGAATGAAGATGGGACACTGGTCTTCTGCCAGTCTAGCACTGTGTGAGCCATCCATAAAACCACTAGGATTTTCAACACATTTCTGACTTGGAGCCTCTGTGGATGTATAGAAGACTCCTCAACCTTGCAACATTTGTCAAGAAAACTGGAAAAGACAGAAGGCAATGAAACTTTCTCACTGAAGGAGCATGTTTCCCTTTGATCACCTGAGACAAAGATGGTCAGGGTTTTCATGGAGCCTGGTCTGTCTTACTATACAGGAGAGGAGATTAAGTTATAGCAGTCAGTCAAAGAGCAAAGAACAGTCCCATCTTTTCTTGACCCTCTGCAGCTCTGAAAGCAAGGTGTCCTGAACTTTGGAGCCCCAGATGGCTAAGTTGTGATGTAACATCTGGGGAGTCAAGGTTAGGAGCCACTTCTACAATGCCAAACAGGCAATATGTGAAGATGTACACCTGCCAACCATATATATCTAGGACCTCCTGAACAAGTACATCTTGCTATTCAGAGTACTGTGTCCCCTGCCACGCCCACAGACCCAACTGATGGCTGAGCAAACATGGCAATCCACACCAGATTTGCCCGAAGGGCATGAAACAGACAGATATTAAGTGTTCCCAATCTGATATCTTCCAGGCATGCTATGACATTGCCCATCATCCCAACCACCCAGGACTCCAATGGCTGGGGAGCATGAGATTGGTATTCCTACCCACTTCAGAGGCTGCTGGATTGGACATGGCTGGTTAAAGCAACTGTAGCACCAAAGCGTCTAGCAGATGATCCACTCAAGGCAAGCATCAACTAATAGCACAACCTACCAGCCATGATCTGAATCACAGTGTGCCATAAATACACAAATCCTGTTATAAGTGGGAGAGAATCAAAGTTGTAAAAAAAAGGCACTGTGGCTGAAGTTCGCTGACAGTGTTTGATCTTTTGGTCTGGAACACTAAAATACTACAAGAATGAGCCTATGGTTCCAGGTGACTCAAGCCAGCAAGCCAAGCCAATATGGCACAGCAATGCCCGAGTCCTCTGGTCGATATTCATTAGGGTTTTGTGGATCAGAAGATAATAATACTGACCATAACAGCACTATCTACCAAAAAATGCAGTGCAAGACTAAGTGACTCTACATGACACAAAAGACAAGGAATCTTGTGGAACCATGAAGGCTGACACATTCTACCTTCCATGACCTTTCCTGTACAGGAAAGATGCATTAGAGTTGATTGGTCTTTCAGGTGGAACCTGATTCCACAAAGTGTTTCCCGCCTGAGACTAACACCACCACCACCACCCTTGCAAAGGTCTCTGTAGCCTGGCCTAAGAAGGAAGGAAGGAAGGAAGGAAGCGTAGCCTGGCCTAAGAAGGGGAAGGGGAGGAAGGAAGGAAGGAAGAACCGTCAGGCCGGGAGAACAGGGGCAGCGACGGTTTCTCTTGAGTTTTTTTCTCGTTCCCTTCTTTCCTCTTCTTTTTCACTCCTATTTATTCATCTGCTAATTTTGGCAAGTGAAACCCCGCCGAGTTTGAAACCGACTTCCCTCCCCATCCAAGCCACCGCGCGATGGGCTTTGCGGCACCTTCCGCGCAAACCGGGAGGGGGCTTCCTTCCTTCCTTCCTTCCGCAGCGCAGCCTTCCTCCCGCTGTCCTCCGAGCGGCTCCAGGCCTTCTGGCCGCTCCCGGGCGCCGAAAGCCGCCGTCTGATCCCCCCATCCCCCTTCCCTAACCCACTCCCTCGCTTTGGTGTCCCCTTCTCTCTCTCTCTCTCTCTTTCACACACACACACACACACACAGAAGGGCCAGGATCGCGAGGCAGCGACGGCGGCGCGGGGGGGGGGATGCAAACGCCAAGCAAACAAAAGCGCACAATCCCGCTTCCTTCCGGCCTCGCCCTCCCCGGCGTTTCCCTTTCTAGCCCCCCGGCGAGTCTCCCCTCCTGCTCCACCCGCCGCGGCTCTTTGGCTCCGGGACGCCAACCGGCCGAGCCGACCTCGACTGGTCCCCCTCGCTCCTGCCCTGCCTGCTTCCCATCGGTCGCCACGCCGGGCTCCCTTACCTTGGCTGGAGGTGCCGCCGCCGCCGCCGCCCCCGCCCTCGCCGGCCACCAGGCTCACGCCCTTCTCCTCCTCGGCCGCTCGCCCTTTAATTCCATCTGCGGGGAAGAGAAAAGAACCGGAGGCGTGAGCGGCGGTGCTGGTGCTGGTGGTGCTGCCGCCGCCGCCGCTGGTGGTGGGGGTGCCTAGTGCTGGGT